AACAAAATGGCGCCAGTCGGCCATTTCGAACCCGATCAAAAAAAAAAATGACGTGCATCAAGGTCCAATTATGTTTAATGTATGTACCAAATTTGAACAAAATCCGTCCATGCATAACTGAGATCCGGGTCCGGAATGGTGAAAATGTGCGATTTTGATGCATTTTCGGCCTTAAAATGGCCGCTATTCGGCTATCGTTAATCGGATCATGAAAAAAATGCATGTGTATATGTCCCATATAATGTGTGATGTATGAGTGAAGTTTGAACTTAATCGATCCATGCATGTTCGAGATACAGGTGATCACGGACGCACGAACGGACGCACACAGGGCAAAACATAAGTCCCCGTTTTCGGACTGCGTCCGAACGGGGACTAATAAGTATTTTAAAAATGTGAACTTGGATACCCTTCCTGTCAACTACGCAGCAAACAAAGCCTGGATGAACAGTAATTTATTTTGAGATCGCTGCTATCGACATGATACACTCGTCTTGGGTAAGGTCAAGTCAACCTTCATTTCAAACGGTTTCCATAAGTTTGACGACAATTGCGAACACAATGACAACAATTAATCCACCCTTTGGGATAATCTTTCACAACAGCTAGATGTACCAGACCTACTTTCTTTTTCTGATTTTATATACTGTGGAATACTTTATTTTCGCTGGAATTAATTTTCGCTGAAAATACTTTTTGGGCATTTTGTATGGAATTTATTTTCATTGATTTTTGATGAGTTTAATGTGAAATATAGGAAAAAAAGTATATTCTCTGGATTTTATTTTCACGAAATCATCCCTTCAGCGAAAATAGCGAAAATAAATTCCAAGCGAAAATAAAGTATTCTACAGTATATTGATATTGATATTTGTGATGACATTGTTGCATCGGTGATAACGGGACCTCTAGATATCGCTTCCGTTTTAGACAATGTGCTGTCTTCATCACAAGCACTAACTTGCCTTTTCAAGCTAAGAAATTATCTCCAATGCTATGATAACATTGACATTGAAATGTTTAGTAGGTTTCTTGCCGTGGAGGACATTCTGTTTCCTACAATGTGCAATCATCGGCGATGTTTCCTACAATGTGCAATCACCGGCGATGTTTTCCACAATGTGCAATCACCGGCGATGTTTTCTACAATGTGCAATCACCGGCGATGTTTTCTACAATGTGCAATCACCGGCGATGTTTTCTACAATGTGCAATCACCGGCGATGTTTTCTACAATGTGCAATCACCGGCAATGTTTTCTACAATGTGCAATCACCGGCGATGTTTTCTAGGTTGTAGAAACATTCTTGTCACCAGTGCAAATTATTTTTCCAATAACCAATTTTATTCAAAATTCACGCTCTGTGTAATCAATTTGTAACTGCTTCAAATGCATGTGAACATTTTGTTTGTTTGAAAAGCGCACCCTTGTGGCTAATTGGTTACAACATGGAGGTAAAAAGAGAAGGAGTCACGCCAATATAATCCTTCTAAACTTCTTTTGTTTTAGCCAAGTTTAATCCTATAATTCCCTTTGTCTTATCGTCCTTTCACCCCGGTTTTACTATAATCCAATATTGCCTGAACACTTTTACCCAAGTAGAATGAAGGTGGACACGACTAAGATACTTCTGACACAAGAATGTTCAGGCATTTTGGGAAATTATTCCCTGTGACTGACTGCTTGAAAGACTAAAAAAAAATTAAGGATACTTGTATTTTTAAAACAGAAATATACAACTGATTTATTACTTGGTTTGCCAAAAATGGAACATAATGGCTACCTCTCTTTACTAAAGATGAACCAAAGTTCAGGCAAATCCATTGATTCTAAACTAAACTAGAATAAAGCAAAATCCATAATTGCACTTACTATGTTGATCAATTGTTTCATTATCCTTTAAAATTTTTCCTGCAAAAATAAGACACAACTGTTCTGGAGGAGCATTAAATCGTTTTGAAATTTCTGCTTTGAACTGAAAAGAAATAGAGAAATTTGCAAGTCTGATTAGTTACATTGTACACATATACAAAACAAAATACAGGAATTTTGATTTGAGCATCATCATAATTAAAATACTTGTCAACCATTTCATCTGTTTTCACATTGTATGTTTCCCCATGACAATCAGGCTATATTATGCTTTATTCACACAAAGATCATTGGAATTATGTATTATAAGAAAGCAAACGGGGAATTTTCTTGTAAGATATTTCATGACTTACTGACTAATGAGGGAACTTTATAACGGTATGCCCAGAATCCTCATCCGACTGATTTGATGTACACCTGAACACAGTCAATCAATCTCTGTATTTTTTAAAGTTTTTTGTCTGAGATTGAATGCATTCTGATTACTCAAGTATAAGCTTTGATACATATTATCTGGGCTTCTGCTAATTCTTTGCAAGTGACCAATATCTTGGCCCAGGCTGGGCTTTTACTAACATTGCTAGTCACCAACGGCTTATCTTTCACTAACATTGCCAGTCACCAACGGTTGGGCTTCTGCAAACCATTCACCGAGAATAACACTATTTATTTGCTTAAACTTATCATTGATTTGATTGGTCATTGTAACTTTGAACTTGGTCCATCAATCATCAATTCAAAACAGACTATCTAATCAATATTCTAAGTGAATTACATAAAAACTTAAAACTGTCATTATATTCAAGTGATATTCCTTGTATGACACAACAATATGGAGACAGTATTTACATGGTTGTTATAAAAATACTCTAAGGATGTGCAATACAGTTTCACTTGTGTGATGTGCACATTGATGAAGTTCACATTCCCGGCAAGCATAATCCTAATATGAAAAAGTGCATTTTATAATTCCTCAATATTAAAATTTTGGGGAGTTATTCCTACTCATATGTATAAAGTGAAATTGCTTGGAAACTTTGTGCAAAATTACAGAATATTTCAATGTTTTAAAAACTTGTTTACATCATAAACTCAAATGAACTCAAAAACATTTCATATGAGAAAATTTATTTATTTATTTATTTTATTTCACCAGAATGACCATTATAACAGAACTCATAAACAAAATACAATAGTAGTAATTCCGGCGTGGACCATGGAAATAGTCCTTATGGACTAGTCCAGTCCATGGCCCAAACTGTCAAGTAGATATTTACAATTTACTGGTAAAGGAAAGGAAAATTACTATTTACATAACGAAAATTAAAAGGTAATCTTGTTGTGAAACTGTAAGTTGAGCAACAGGAATTGACAAGTTACCGCTAGACACTGAACTTGTGGGATAGCAATGTGGGTAATCATTAACATATTTATTGAGGCTATGTGCATATCTGTTGTGTTTAAGGTCGAAGATAAATAGGCAGGTTTGTAATTTACAAAGTTTGTGAATATCAAGTATGCGTAATTGGATAAAAAGAGGAGCAGAATGTGCTTTAAAGTGCGAGAAGGTGATAAGGCGCACAACTTTTTTTTGTAAGAGCAGAACTGGTTCAAGAAGTGTTGGGTATGTGTTTCCCCCAGATTTCAATACAGTACATTTTGTGAGGACAAGAGTATGTTGAACTTATTTAGGAAACCAAGTAGCTGATGATTTACAGCTGATTCAAATATTTTACTGAATACGGGTAGAATAGATATGGGCCTATAATTGCCGACATCCAGGGCAGATCCCTTTTTATATACTGGTGTGATTGTGGCGAGTTTGAGAGAGTCAGGAAAAACACCTTGAGCTATAGAACATTTCAGAATGTGCGCCAGAGGTTTAGAAATATACTTTACAGCATCAATTACAAGTTTAGGATGCACATGATCATGTCCCATTGCTTTGTTGGGGTCTAATCGGTAAATAAATTTCATAATATCCTGTTCTGTGACTGCTTGGAGGAAAAAAGACGACGGAAAATTCCCTGTGAGATAGTGA